AGAGCCGTGGAACACTAGCCCGCCTTTCTCCAGACTCATCAATTTCAGGCTTTCCATGATTGTTCCAGATCTTCTGCATTGCTGGAATCTAGGTGTATCAAGGCACATGCTGGCCAGCTGCTTGAAAATCCTATTATCTGACCAGATCGTCTTCCCAGCTCCCACGCTGCCTGGACGATTGAAGATGGCGTCTGAGAGCTTGCTGGCCTTTGCCAGGCGGCACCGCTATCCCCTGAGGATGAAAAAAATCACGAAGAATAAGCTGAAATGGAAAGCTAGGCGCTACCCCGAATTAGCTTCTAGTGGGTACGATGCCTTCGTTGTTGGAACATGGTTAGAACAAACCCTGACTCCTCACAATCATCATTACCCAGAAATTGCGACATTGCTTTGGAGCAGCAACAAGGGCATCAGCCTGTTGTATTCGGCGGGGGCTTTTTTGACCACGGGAGAGAAACAATCTGTGAAAGTATATGGTGACATTTTTCTGCAAACTTATGTGACCTTAGCTGGGCGAGCTCTGAATGAGCACAAACTTCTTTTCAGAGTCATCCCAAAGTTGCACTTGATGTCCCACATTTTCAATTGGAAGCGGTCTGTGAACCCTTCCCGCTACAGCACTTGGATGGACGAAGACTATTTAAAGAAAATTGGGAAAACTCTGGGTTTGACTCAGCAGAAGACTGCGCAACAGAGACTGCTACAACGGTGGCTTCTTTCGATCCCCAATCATCTTAAAAGGAATTTGGGGTGATTTATTTTCGGATTGGGTGCGCCATATGGTGCATGCAGCGAACTGTGGGGATGTCGCTGCGAAAAAGATCTTGGGATCCCTGCATATGTTTCAGCTGTGCGCATGCCGATCATGTGGCAAAACGAAATCTGATTGACAATTGAAACTGTTTTTTTCTACGTCTACCGCTGACCTCGAGATTAGTTGCTGTGTTGGTACTTAAACAAAATGGCCCATGCCATAAAAGGAAATATTGCACCTCTCCTGAAAACAGAGATAACTCCAGCAGCTGCACTGCCATGCTGTGAACGGAGCCAGTCTGGGCATCCAAGAGCATTTGCATATGGTTTGATGAACCAATAGAGTTTTAGGACATTTCCCAATTTGTTTCCCTTTCATGCTCTGTTTGCGTCATTATCCCACACCAACATCTAGGTGTTCATACAGCACTAAAACCATAGTTTATATTCCAACTTTAGTTGTGGAAGAATATCCTTACAAGATCCCAAAGACACACACACACACATATATATATATATATATACCAGAGGAATTTTAGGTTGAAAATTTCCGAGTTATGGACGAATGTTCAGGGGCACTCCTGTGACAACCGCAAAGTGAGCAAAAGCAGTTCGAGTGCGGGAGTAGCGGAGGGTAACAGAATTCGCGAGCGCGTGAATTCACGGGTGAAAACATTTTTCGGGTGCGAACCCTGTGTTTCTGGGGTCGCCGAAGTAGGGTTTCTGTTTCTGCGGTTGACGCTTGAAAAATTTTGAGCGCCGCGAAAACCGTGAAAACCGTGGAAATTCGCACCGAGGAGCGTGAAAATCACGAAAAACGTGAGAATTCACACCCTGGAGCTTGGAAGACCACGAAAAACGTGAAAATTCACACCCTGGAGCGTGAAAAACGTGAAAACGTGAAAATTCACACCCTGGAGCGTGAAAAACGTGAAAACGTGAAAATTCACACCCTGGAGCGTGAAAAACGTGAAAACGTGAAAATTCACACCCTGGAGCGTGAAAAACGTGAAAACGTGAAAATTCACATCCTGGAGCGTGAAAAACATGAAAACGTGAAAATTCACATCCTGGAGGATGAAAAAACGTGAAAATTCACATCTGCAAGCGTGAAAACACCATATGGCTTCGAAAAAGTGATTTGGACTCCGAAATGCAAAAACGAGGTCCTGGGCGGTATGGCTTCGGTTTTCGAAGCCGAATGGTTCCCTAGGAAAGCCGCGAAAACGCGAAAACCGTAAAAACAGGAAAACGCCGAGGAGACTAGCGCTATTGGCCGCATTTCTCGGTTTTCTCGTTTTCTCGGTTTTCTCGGTTTTCTCGGTTTTCTGGTTTTCTGGTTTTCTCGGTTTTCTCGGTTTTCTCGGTTTTCTGGTTTTCTCGTTTCCTTGCATCTCATCGTTCTGGCCACGTCGCGTGGATTTCTTGCTTAGAAATCAAACAGGTCATCTCGAAATCTACACTCATTATCGGTGATCATTCCATCAGCCTGGGGTGACTTGCGTGGCTGATATTTCGGGCCAGAACTGTAGAAACCAACAAAAATCCTACAGAACTGTGTTTTCTGGAAATATGCGGTACATCGGAGGTCCCATCACCCAGCGCTGACAGGCGATCTTGTGGGCGCTGAAGACTCAGTGCAACATCCCGCAATGCTTCGCTTTCCTACAGGTTCCCTGCTCATGGATATGTACAATGTGGGGTCCCCTAGATAGCTAAGTTGGTTTATAACCTGGTTAACTATGGTTTATGATGGATGATATAACTATAGTTGATGGGCTTTATTTCCACCAATTGATAACTACGGGGCCCCCACACTGTAGAATCTGATGTCTCCAAATGTCTCCGACATATTGGATAGTATATATAATGCCAACCAAAAAGTCATGACCTTAATCGGTTTATTGAAACAAATCTGTGGGCCGATCACCGGTTTTGCGGGTGAAGGCCTCCTATGTTTCTCCATAGCTGGTTGAAAATCGTTCCTAATGAAATCCATATGTTTTTCCCTGGTGGAATCCCATCTCTCCTGGTTGAACCTGGTGAAATCCCAATTGTGTTCCCGGGTACAGCCCGATATATCTCAATTATCCAAATCCCGATTGTTCCTGAAGTCGGCATTTTCTTGGTTGACTCCCAATTCGTTCCAAGTTCAATATTCAATTAATTTTAATTTTAATTACCCTCTGGTGAACTAACATAGCAATGGAAAATGGCTATTTATAGTGGATTTTCCCATTAAGAATGGTGATTTTCCATTGCTATGTTAGTTCACCAGAGGGTACATGGTTTTTCCAATCTTCTATTGAAATATGCACCGGTTTTGACGGAAACAAATCCACATCTTTCCCGAGTTCCATGGCACCTGACAGCGTCGCTAACGAGCCCCGGCACCATGAGCCGCGCATCCTGAGGCGATCATTGTTTCGGAGCTGGGATATGTTACCACCAATAGACCAATATGAAACCCGGCAGTGTTGGGGGATCAAGCTGCGATTTGAGGATTGTTTGTTTGTTCATAATGGGATAGAATCAGCTATGGATTTAGGTCCTGGGGATAGAGGACTGGCGGGATTTTATGAAAATAGGGGTTGAAGCCATGAATGGGGGTAGATTACATGGATATTAAGCAGCCATATGAATGGACGGAATAGAATAGATTTGAGGGATTTACCAGCAATCCGTGCTTGACAATAGGGATATTAAATGAGATATTTTAATAACATTTTATAACAAGCTTTACATGATTTCTGTTGGGTGTCTGAACATGGGATGTAACAGGTGTGTCTGACAAGTTGGATATACCACCAATTTATGGCCATGAAATTCATGAAATCATGTTCAAGCATCAACATCATCCAATAAATTTCACTGGAATTGGGGTTGCCCTATTTTCAGATAAAACATGATAAAACCATATCATATCATATGGAGGTTTCCTGAACTGGGGGTACCCCCGGGCACCCATGGTATTTTTCAGATCCGTCCCAAGGTGGACCAGGAAATCGCTACACGTGCGCTAGATAGAAGGTCGAACCGTCTGAAAAAAAGCTCTATTAGTGTTTTTTTTTTGTGAATTGTTCATTAAATTTCATTAAAACTAGTGCTTAACCAGCGAAAATAAGAATTGAAGAACCACTATTGAAATTTATGTGACTAATGATAGATAGGTTAGGTTTTCAACTCAGCTAACTGTTTTTTTTCTGATGAATACCTCTACATTTGGATGGGTGAAACGGGGTCCGGGGTCATACATTTGGGGTCCTGCTGTGAAGCTGAGATGGATCAAAACCTCTCCATAAATCCCAGCAAATTTTTGGTGTGAACTACAGGGGATTCCCTCCTTGTTTTGACCATAACCATATCCCAATAATCAGATTATTATAATGATAATTACTATAATGATTACTACAATGATTAACATAGTAATCCCAATATCTCAAATTTCAAAGAATCATCAGATAATCAGATAATCCTGTCATCCACCGGTTTTTTTCCAGCGTCTTCTTATGTCATCATCATGCAACATGCCTTCCCGTATTCCAATAGTACTCCCCAAAGATATCAGACTTTCCCAGAAATATGGGTTGTCCCATATCTTCTCCCCAAATCTCGATCTCCCACCAAGGGTTCTCCTCGGCAGAAGCAGCGCTGATGAACCTCCCGGGGCTTTTTTAGGTGAGGTCCCGGTGTCCCCCTTGTAGGTTGCCATGGTGATATAAAATGAGAGGGAGATATAAGTGGATATAATATGTGACGTGATATAGGATATATATATATATATTAAGTTATTATGTATGTGTGAATATATGTATATATATAGAATATGTATAAATATATGTGACATACTATGTATGCATATAATATGTATATGTAGGATACAAAACCCACGATATGATATGATACATGGGATGGGATGTGTGTGTGATATGATAGGGATAAATCATATGGGACATTAAAATGGGGAACAATGAAACGGAGACATGATACAGAATTTATATATTATATAACCATATAATGGGAATCTGGTACAATGGGAGATATGATAGGGAGATCGTGCAACTATCATTAGAACGATAAGGATATATAATCGGGATATTGTCTGTTATGGGACATACTATATATCATATCAAAATATAACCAACAATATGATAGTTGGGTGTCAAATTAAGATTTCACCATCAAATATAATGATTTATCTATCAAAAAAATGGTGTTTCAGTGTTTCTTTCTGGGACATAATGCGTTACATACATGGACATCGCAAGATAAACAGATAAACATTATCAACAACATCCTGGACAGCATCCTTTCTTTCACTGTAGTTTCCCCGAATGGGTGGAGTATCCAATAGCAAAGTAACACATCACCTTCAACAAATCCAGGACTTGGGGAATTCAACCTGGCATTGAACATCTCCTATACTTAAAGATAGCTCAAGGATCGAGCAACGTATAACTGCTTGGTGGTTGAGCTCTACCCCTAGTTGGGATTATTTAATTCCCAATATATGGAAAAATAAATGTTCCAAACCACCAACCAGTATAGGAATGGGTGACATTTTGCAATGCGTTGCCATCAAAGAGTTCTCAAAGGATCACAACTTCACAATTTCACATGTGTGTTGGTGACCCCCGAAAATCCATGAAACTGTTTGGGCAATTACCTTGAAACAGCCGCAGCTAGATTTCCGAAATTTGGCTGAATTTTTTCCGGGGTTTGGGTGGAGCCCGATCCTTAAACAATATACCCCCTGGCTATGACTAACAGTTCGCCATGGTATAGATGGCCCATAGCAATAGATGGTTTACCTATTAAAAATGTTGATTTTCCATGGCTATGTTAAATAACCAGATGGTATATATATACATATATATATATCATACCATATGCTTATTCAGCACATTCGAACACAATGAAATAATCATGCAAGGTGGACATGGATTCAAACTTAGCAACCCACTAAATGAAATCAGTCTCCAACGATTTCTAGGACACCCAGAGACAGTTTTCGTGAAAACTCCTCAGTATTTGTGCTCCAGCGTGCCTTTTTGTTTGCTAGTTACACTTAGTTGCGCACTATTGCGCACTTCGTTTGGCACGCTGAGGGCTTATTTTTCAAGTCGTTTTTTCTTGCTTCCCTACTTTGATTGGCATTTTCGGCTGCTCCCCGTTTTTCCCTGTCAAATCTCACAATTTCTCGGTCAAACCCTCACTCCTTACTTTCCTCACCATTTTCAAAGGTCAATGAAACGGGTATGTCTCAAAGTTGGGTACCCCAAGCCCCCTGGTTCCCCATCATATTATATATTCCCCATTTCTATATTGGTGGGAACCCATCCTTTTTTGATACCATGAATGCTGTATAGATTTCCGGAGGAGTTGTAAAACAGCGGGATTTGTCGTCTTGATCCCTCCGGCTTAAAACCCCACTACAGTTGCACAAGGATCTTCTATTCATCATGCTCTTCTTGATCGATCATACAATGGATACTTCTTCAGCTTCGGAACTTGGCAGTTCTGGGGCACTCCTGCTTTTTCCCTTCAGAACTGCCAAGGATGTGTTGTACTACGCACTTGTGGGATGAAGAGCTGAGATACATATGCTGATCCTCTGATCCTCCGAGGCTTGAAGTTCAAGATGATGCAAAATAACCTGCTCTTGGCCTCTTGGTGGTCACTGTTCACCACAAAAAACAGTTGTGCTATGGTCCATGGCCTGGAAACCTTCCTGGAAGACCCATACCCATGGCGCCGATCAACCGACCTCCTGGGAGGCTGCGACGTGGCGGCAACCTGCATCAAATCATGGGAGGCGGGTTTTTTCTGGGGGGGTTCCACACAGCACAGATTTAAACTGTGGATACTATCTGTGGATACTATCTGGGGGGTTCCATGGGATTTTATGGTGGTTTAGTGGGATCTAATGGGATTTAATAGGATTTACCATCTGGTTATGACTAACATAGCCATGGAAAGATCCACCATTTTTTTAATCGGTCAAGCCAGGTAAAGCATCTATTTCTATGGGCCATTTTCCATAGCTATGTTAAATAACCAGAGGGTATTCATATGGTTCCTATTGATCTGGTTTGTAGGATTTGAATAAGGACCCCTATTTTCATGGAACTGATCACTGGGATATGTACAAGCATCAACGATGTCA